AAAAGACACTTCTACATCGTCAATCTCAAAAGATGCTCCTCGGTTCTCATGTGATGGGAGGGAAACAAATCCTTTACCCTTTGAATCACGAGACATTTCAAAATCCGCTCTAAAGCTGAAAGAGCTACCAAGACTTTCTTTGGACAGTAGAGTGAGTCCAGTACGAAGCTTGAACTCAGAACCAAAGTCTAACTTTTCCTCAAAATCTATGCAGAAGGATAGTGGTTATAATACCATTGCAAAGTCACCACCTCTGCTGCAAACATCTGGAACTCAGGCTCGTCCTCCTAGTGTTGTGGCAAAGCTAATGGGTCTGGAAACACTACCTGATGCCGTGTCATCAACTGACAGCAAGACGGGTCCGAGCAAATCTTCTCAAGTTGAAGAAACTGTTTCTTTTCCAAGGTCTTCAGAAGTATCTGAGCCATGCAAACCTATCCGAACTCCTAATTCCACGAAGAACCTCTGGAAAGAACCTACTTCTCCTCGGTGGAGAAACCCTGATATGGCAATGAAACCTATTTCTAGGTTTCCCATTGAACCAGCACCCTGGAAGCAACTTGATAAGACTCGGGTGTATGAGAAACCTATATCCAGGATCTCAAAAGCTCTGGTAAAGCCTGCGAGCCCATTTCCTTCTGTTTACAGTGAGATCGAAAAGAGATTGAAGGATCTAGAATTCACCCAGTCAGGCAAGGATCTAAGAGCTCTTAAACAGATATTGGAAGCAATGCAGGTAAAGGGCCTCCTGGAGACAGAAAAAGAGGAGCAGGGTTCAAATTTTACTGGTCAGAAAGAGCATCACCAGAAGTTTGCGAGTTATGCACAGAGTGGAAAACTGGTAAACCAGAGAATGAGGCAGAGTGATCAATTGACTGCTCCAACAAAGAGGGGGCCAAATTCCTTAAAGAATTTTGAATCCCCAATAGTGATCATGAAGCCAGCAAAATTAGTGGAAAAATCTGATATTCCTACTTCTTCGATGATTCCACTTGATGGCTTACCCACTTTCCCCAAGCTTCATGGTGGTGACTCTGTTTACGGAAGAAAGGGTAATGCTACTAGCAGAACAGCTAAAGAACATCACCCAAGAACTAGTTATGGCAGCAGTTCAGTGAATCCCAATGAAGCAAGAAGAACTTCGAAACTTACACAAACTTCAACAAGGTCCCAACAGCTTCCTAAAGAGAGCACATCAGGCTCAATAAAGAGCTCAGGATCCATCAGCCCAAGATTGCAACAGCATAAACTGGAGCTAGAGAAAAGATCTCGGCCACCCACACCTCCATCTGATTCCAACAGATCGAGAAGACAGCCAAACAAGCAACAGACAGAGGCTAGTTCCCCTGGTGGAAGACGTAGACCAAGAGTTTCAAACATCCATCAGCATGATGGCCATGCGAGTGAGATCAGTAGTGAATCAAGGAATTTGTGTTACCGTGGGAATGAGATTTCTGGTCAATCCAATGGGAATGTAATAGCAGAATCAAAAGTAGATTCTGAAGTCACTAGTTTTGAGCGCTCTCCTGAGGTGACAAGCAGCCGGAGTTCATCTATTGATGCGTCCAATTACCTGAGATGTGATTTGGTAGAGAAGGTAAGAAACTTCCATTTATTTGTGCCTTGTAGGAGTACTTGAACTATACCATAACATGCTTGACGCTGAGACTTTCATTTCAGAAATCATCTCTGGTGCTCTCTGAGGATGAACTGTTAGCTGAATCTGCCCCAGAGTATCCAAGTCCGGTCTCGGTTCTTGACAATGCCGTATATGCAGATGAATCACCCTCCCCTGTGAAGCATACTCCAACAGTCATGAAAGGTGCTGCTTTCCCCTAGTATTTTGTGAAGAAATTAAAAGCACATTCACATAAGCAAATATAACTAGAAATAACAAGATCTATTATTTTGAGTTGGAGTTCCTGCTCAAATCGAACTAGCACCTAAGCGATGGCATGTTGGGGATATATTTGTAGATATTAGTGACATCTTATGCAGATTCTTTGTAATAGGCACACATGCAGGAATGAATATTCACTGATAGTGAATCATGATAAGTTAACTACTGGATACTAGTACTTTGTTATTAGGTTGCCTCATTTGCTGAAACATTATCCCCTTAAATGCCTGCTGAAAAAGACTGAGCAAGGGTGGGAAAATAGTTGAAACTACTTTATGTTTGGAACCCTAAACTTTAGTTTAGTTTAACCCTTAGGGTGCAACTCTTCCGTGGACCCTGCGTGCACGCCGGATGCTTTGTGCACCGGGCTGCACTTTTAACACTTGTTCAGTGACTAATATTGTGCCCATTCATCTCTTTTTTTAGGGGGGTNTTAAGAAAGTTTTTTAGGATGTGAATGTGTGAGCATCTCTCACCAGAACAGCCAAAGCAAATGCCTAAACAGATGCTTTTAAGCCACCTTGGATTTGCCCAAACAATGAACACCAGTATGATATACAGATGTCCCCTTCACTTCAGTCAAAAAACTTGAATAATAACATGTTAAGCTATAAAGGCACATACATCTATGTGTATATTTATATATTCTTTATGTGCATTAAATTTGTCCGTCCTGGCTTTTATGCTTTCATGTTCTGGTCACTTATGTCACCCGGAACAACCAAAATTGTGGTAAACCTTATACATTGCTGCTTCAGTTGATTTTTTCAGTAGCACATCACAACTTCGGCACTGCCATCCACATCAGACACAAATTTACTCACTGCACTCAAAACTAAACAGATTACAGCTCTAATTTTAGTAAGAAAATAAAGATCAATTGCAAATACTTGAAAGCTGCTCAAATGAATATTGTAGTCAGCATTCAGCAAGAAATATCAGATAAGTGTCTCCATTATGGTGTCAGTCTTTTGTCCTTCTGGAGATCAAAACAGTTTTGACTATTCAGTTTATGTATACTGTTTAAGAAGTTGGATATTTTTTGTTTCTCATCATATGTTATTTTGTGTGACAGATGAGAGCTGCAGCGTTGCTGATAAATTTTCCAGTCCGCCACAGAGTGATCGAGCCAATACTCTTGCGACTGATGCCACCAATTCCGGTCTCTCATCGGAAATCAATCGAAAAAAATTACAAAACATTGAGAATTTGGTTCAGAAGCTCAGGAGGTTGAACTCCAACCATGATGAGGCTCGCACGGATTATATTGCGTCTCTCTGTGAGAACACAAACCCAGACCACAGATACATTTCAGAGATCTTATTGGCTTCAGGACTCCTTCTCAGGGATCTCGGCTCAAGCCTAACAAGTTTCCAGTTCCATCCATCAGGTCACCCTATCAACCCGGAGCTGTTCCTTGTCTTGGAACAAACCAAGGCAAGCACTTTAATTAAGGAGGAATTCTGCTATGAAAAGATGAGGCAGTCTAAGCCGAAGGAAAAGATACGTAGGAAACTCATCTTTGATGTTGTTAATGAGATTCTTGCTGGAAAATTGGTGTTAGTGGGACCATCTTATGAGCCATGGTTGAGACACCAGAAGCTAGCAAAGAACGCTCTGAATGCTCAAAGGCTTCTGAGGGATTTGTGCGCGGAGATAGAACTACTTCAAGCTAAACCATCAAAAAGCGACTTGGAGGATGAGGAAGATGAGTGGAAAAACATATTGCTTGAGGATGTGATGCATCGATCAGAGAGTTGGACGATATTCACTGGTGAGTTATCAACTGTAGTCTTGGACGTGGAGCGGATGATCTTTAAAGATTTAGTTGATGAGATAGTGAGAGGTGATGGTGCTGGTTTGAGAGCAAAACCAACTAGGCGTAGACAGCTATTTGCAAAGTAGTACTATATCTCTACCATTCTATAATTGACTTCTCATTTGTTTTTGCTTTGTTTTCCTCCTCACCTAATTATTGAGTAGTAAAATAATTCAGAAATACTCATTTAATTTGCGTCTTGGGTTCTATGTAAAGGAATAATTTCCTCTTAATTGTATCACCAACATACTTAGTGAAGACCACCTGCCCAGTAAATGTACCATAATATTATTGTTTTGCATCCTGTTATGCAGAATTATAGATTTTTTTACCAGCTACTTTTTCCTTTTGTGATTCTCTTTTATTTTGTTAAGCTTCAACAACAACAACAATATACCCGGTGTATTCCACATGTGGGGCCTGTGGAGGATAGTGTACAATACGTAGACCTTAGCCTGACCCTGTTACATTTGTCTTCAGAATCACCTAATTGATCGTCTCTGGACTTATATGAAAGATACCATTTCTTGGTTTTACAAGAGTAGCAACATCATGTTCAACGTATCTGTATCTCTTTTTTCGGGGGAGGGGCTAGATTAAAAAAAATATCTGCCCCTTACTTGATTTTGAAGGGAGATCTGTCTATTTTAGGATGCAAATAGGTTGGCATTTATTAATCAAACGATTCAAGGTGGTCAGACTGACGTACATTACAGTATATACTACATCAATTAGAATATTTTTTGGTGAACAATGTTCGATGATACATTCTAGTTTGGTCTTTTATGGACAAAATGAGACAGAGTGAAAAGAAATTGGTGATGTTAACTTCCCATCATACCAAAATTATCTATATTGAATTAAGACTATGTAACAAAGAGACTCCCAAATACCTTTTCTGTTACTTCAAACGGTAAAATACGAATACAACTCAACTCAAAGCCATCGCAGAATCTCAAGTACTGAAACTGAAAATACAAGAATAGAAAGAAGAAGCTCCTAACTCAGAATTGGGGATTAGAAGACTCAGAAAGATTCCATAACAATATTCCCTGTCTTTTCTCTTCTTCACATGCTCTTAATTACCCTGGTCTTACACACAATTTTTCAATTTTCCTAAATCGTTCATAACGAACTCGATCGGTCAATTATTCTGTATAATATCTTGATGAATGGATGTGTCTGGAAAGGAAATTACAGTTATTTATAAAAGTTTGAGGAGTACATTTCGACAGGCCTCCGTAGCATAGTGGTATTGCGTTCGCTTCGTAAGCGAAAGGCCGCGAGTTCGATCCTCGCCGGGGGCTAACTATTAATTCCTGTCTTTTGATTTTGTTTGCCTCTGGCTTTTACATTTTGCAGATTTTGTTTCAGGTACGTTAACTTCTTCAGATATTCTCCAATTAAATTTGTTCAATCTTGAAAAATCAATAAGTCCATATTTTTTATAATGGCACTACTACCTTTGGTCCAAAAACCAAACCAACCGTTAATCCTTTTTCCTTTATCCAGTCCCAACCCCTTTAACCTAAAGCAAAGCAAAAACAGAAGTCAAATGTGCCTCCATTCCCACCACTTCAGTCGAAGAACAAGTCTAAATCTTGGGGTAACTTCATTCATTCTTTTAAGTGAAAAAACTGCGAATGCCTTTGATTTCAGAATCACAGTTCCTGACCAGACAGTTGAAGAAGCAGAGGATGGGATTCAAAGCCATGCAAAGAGTTTATTACAAGTCAAAGAATTGTTAGAGGCAGAAACATGGAAAGAAGCTCAAAAGGCTTTGAGAAAAAGCTCAACTTTACTGAAACAAGATATCTACACCATAATCCAAGCTAAACCAGGAAATCAGAGGCCTCAGTTGAGGAAGCTCTACTCCATTTTGTTCAATACTGTTTCAAGATTGGATTTTGCAGCTAGGGATAAGGATGTGCCACGTGTATGGGAGTACTATGATAACATTGTCCTAGCTCTTCACAATATTTTGTCAAGACTATAATTTTATATAGTCATGCAATTAATTTTTAAATTGTGGGTCGTTCTTTTTGGATCATGTTTTGTTTGTTACTAGATGTATGACGTGTGATATAATTACCTTTCATCCTTGATATACAGATTAAACCTTCCAAAAGATATGTATATAAAATTCGCCGTAAAAAGTAAAATTTGTAACCTTAAAAATACCTTTTGTGTTGGGCTAGAATTGAAATAAGTACTCCTAATTTCTTGAATGGCTGAGAAATAGAGGATATTAGATTTTCCTTATGATCGATACATATAGAGCCAAAATTGATTGTTCTAATTCTTATGCAATTTACATATAACATCTTGATAAGTTGTGGACCATGTAGTTGCATTTTGTTTGATTATGCTATTTGGGCAGATTTTACAATTGTTTAGTACCTTTTAGCGACAGCTTACAAAAAGTTGCAGAGAATTACACAAACAGAAGGGAGAAAAGAACTAGTATATTATTCCATCCCATTTGACAAAAAAGTGTTTTTCCTAAACTTCTTTAAAGGATATAGAGAACAAATATTTTATACTAAATTGTAATAGGCTCTTCAAATTTGAGTATAAGTAACTATAATTTAAATGAGGGGAATGAAATTGGTGGCAACATATATACTTCAAGAGAAGGAAAAGTAGTTTGTTATCAATTCATGTTTTAATTGTTCCCATGTACGTACCAATGGCAGCAGCAGCTTTAGGCTTTTCGAGAAGAAAACAACAACTCATTCAAAACATAGGAATAGATCTTTCCATCTTTGAGGAGTTTGGAAGCAAAGTTACAATTGAGACTTTGACCAATATATGACACACATCCTTATTCCTTGGTTGGATTTTTAAACCATAATGTTTTGGAATTTGTGGTCCATAACTTGTCTTTCTTTCTTTCTCTAATTTTCTTTGTTCAAACTTGGGCTTTGTTTTTTCTTTTCAGAAACCGGTTACTTATGTGGAGTTCATCACTTGCTTTAATGTTCTATTCTTCCATTCAACTACTTTGTTAGACTGAGTAACTAAGGAGATGTTACTTTTTGAATTATTCCTTCTTCTTTTTTCATTAGAATCGGTCAGAAGTAAACATTCCATTCTACTATCAGGTCTAATTCTCTTTATCTTTCTACTAATTACTTAATTTTCAATCTCAGTTTTGTAAGAAATAAAAGTATTAAAGATATTCTTTTTATTTTTAAGCATATTCAACTAAGTAAATTTAGAAAAATCAATAATAAATATTGCATAATGTTTTTTAACATCTCTAATTATAGTTTGTTTTAAATACTAAGTCTGTGAATCAAGGATAATAATTCAATTTCTCTATTTATAAAAAAGTAACTCTTTTAATACTTTTAGCTTCAGCATATATTTAGGATTTGTAGGTATTATTTGAATCTAATTAAATCATACATTAACCTGGGCTGAAGATATAATGAAACTAGCTACTGTACTCAGGAAAAAAAAGAAAAATAAATTTAATGGAGCTCGTGTATTAGTGCTATCTTTTATTCAGCTGTAGGCAAGGAGGATTAGGTACATATATACTGTATATAGTATAGATCAATTTAGGTTCACTTACATTAAGCAAAACATAAAATTTTTGGGATCTTCTCCGTAGAGTAATTTACTCCATTTTTATTCTTTTTTAAATGGATATAGTTATAGGTAGGCCGGAAGCACTATTAATAAGATAAAAAATTCATTAAATCTACAGAATGGTTCAAGCAAATGGACCACACCCTCCGATAACATTAATACTAAGACTTAGCTTTGTCACGTGAAAATAGCATTTTCCTTTCCTTGGCCAGAGGAAAAAGAGCCATTCAATATCTTAACTACTTTTCCTACTAGTTTTTCTTCTTCTTATATCCACCGAAAAGAAAATATACATAACGATCAAGAGTACAAGTAATTAGATTAATCCCATACACATGTGTATATTAGAAAAGGATTTAACTCATGCACACACAATATAAAGATATCATATATATA